CAAAATAAAATGAAATGAACGTATCGAAATATTAAAATACAAGAACATTTAAAAATGTGTAAAATTGGTTATAGAGGTAAATTCCGGTTTGATGACGTGACAGCATTAGGATGCCTAATGTTATTTTTGGCAACGATGATCGCGAATGGGTACTAATCGCAAATGGGTACCGAATAGTGAAAATTAATACAAATTAAGCAAATGTGATTAGTTTTCGAATCCTGACTTGTTTGTGTTGAGCGTCTTCCACTGAGTATATATTAGGATTCGTTTTGTTGTATTGTAATAAAATCCTTCCGATTTTAAGCTATATTCATTCATATTGACACTCATGTGTCTTGACAATCAGTACTGGAAAATGTGGCGAAATTCCCACGTCACCCCTCAGACATACTAAGGGGAGTGTTGAGGGCTATATTTGATTAAACTTGTCTGTCAAAAATCTTCCAACAACTCAAGCCTCATATTAAGTGTAACCAGCTGGAATGGGAGCATGCAATCATCGGACACGTTTGAGTGGGGACGCGTTGGAATAACGTGGCTACGGCCAGGAGTACCGCATGCGTCTATGGGGGAAGTGGCAGAGTCGTTTACATAATTATGGCCATGCTTGACAAAGCCCCTGGTTAAGGGTGCACTGAGCCAATTCAAGCCCCATTGAAAAGAGTTTAAAATCAACAAAGTTCAGGGCGAAATAACATGTAAGCCGACAACACTGGGGTTTCTCAAACAAAAATTAAATTATTGTCTTGTACTTCATCTTTTCATTTCTTTTCAATTTTGGGTAGACTAGCCGTAATCACCTCCCGAAAAGTGATAGTTCCCGAGCCTGCATATATACTAGTGGCATCCTTCCACTTTCTCAGGCAAATAGGACCCATTCTTCAACCGTAATTTTATCAAGCCTACCCTCAGATGGAAGCCCGAAAACAAGGGAGTTGATTCTTGGCTACATTTACACAATTCCACCGTTTTTAAAGCCAAACGGTCTCCGTGTTCAAAAGAAACTGTGGGGTCACTTTTTATGCTAATCAGCTCGCGTAGAAATTCTCACTTGAATTAATTTTGTTCACTGCACCCTTAACTACAGGATGACTAGTGAGTGCAACGAGAGGTCACCTAGCGCCCTCTGTTGTTATTGCTAATAGCGATCAAACCCCGCCCTCTCGTGATCCTAAGGCTATTTAAAGGTCAACCTCTCGCAGAATTTTTGTTTTGCCTTTTTGCTTGCAGTGTGTGGACGAGAATACATACACCCCAACCCCTCCCGATACTTCACTCTGTTTTTCAAGCACAGTTCTAGGCATCTCAAAGTAACACGTTGGCGGACCAGGGGCGGATCCAGGAATGTTCGCAAATGGGGTTTTCATCGGCCAAAACAATCTTAAATGTAGACAAGGATTTTTCTCCAGGCACTTTGCCTCCAAAAACCAATAGGTGGGTGAAGGGGGGGGGGGAACTCTTACCATACTTTTAATGGGGCGCTGTTAAAATCAACACTACATCACATAATAGTGTACATATACCCCCTAACCAAGTTGGCTCTGTCGCTATTTTGTCCAAAGGCAGACTGTGTGTTAGAGCGGGGGGGGGGGGGGGGTTGGCATTTTTTTCATGAATTTTTGTGCACCTGCGGACTTGCAAAATTATTTTTTTGATGTATGTGTAGATTTACTACTCTAGAGAACGATGTAACTATATGACTCGCAATAATAGTACCTTCATTGGAGTCAATAATGAAAAAAATACTTTGTCAAAACACAAATTGTTTCTAATTTAATTCAATGTTTATCAAAAAATGAGAAAAGACAATTACGACAAAAATGACAAGAACTTTACTTTACAACGTTACCTTCAACCTAAATACAAAAAACACTGTATCTTAACACTTAGTGAAGATCACATTTTCAAGAACAACAGGATGATCGAGCCTTTATTTATAACGAAAATCCGACTTATGTTTTTTAGCACAATCAAATTATTCAAGTCCGAGTTTCGATTTGTGTTCCTGGAACCTTCGTACCTAGTAGGGCCTATCTCTTAAAAAAAAAAGAAGGTTGATTTCCCTCTTTGAAAATTCAAAACCCCTAATTTTTCTGTGTAAGTATTGTGGCGCTGATTGAACCGGGGCTCCCCAAACTCAGGTCGCCCTGGCCTCCTGACTAAACCTTTGGTAAGCCTAGACGAGCGGTGATCTAGGTGACCTAGGGAATGCGTCCGTACGGAAGGCCATATGCCGCCAACACGTACAAAGTAGTCTCCTTAAGGGTGTACACTTAAGGGAGGGACTCCAACTGGCAGACTGAACAAACGATGAAGGAACAGACACTGACACCTTTATTTATCAGATAACAACGACAATCAAGTTCTTTAATTCTCTATTGGTTCAATTATAATGTAGGAGTTAATCAACAATAATTACTTAAAGAGGATGTGGAATGCTCGAAGACTTTTCCGTCATTTTTCGGGTATATGTAGCCTAAGGTGTGATGAAATAAAAACGACTATTGTTTCTGTCATGAAATGAGTACAAAAGGTACTTTTGAGAGCTGTTTTTCAGGTCCAGTTTCGACCCGAACGTGCAACTGTGTAAATGTCGTCGTTGCGGGCAGCAAACAAAACACAGTAAATCGTGACGTAATAAACAGGACTCCCGATGCACAGTAGCATACACCTTAGGCTACATATACCCGAACAATGACGGAGATGTCTTCGAGCATTCCACAACCTCTTTAATGAAACGGCACCTGCGTCAAGGGTGGACTATTCGCAGCGCTCCCCCACGCTCTTTTGCGACTTCCTATCAGGCAACCCCAAGTTACCGGCGGCAGGACTCCCGAGACCCCAGTGGACACAGCCCACGAGGTAGCAACACACAGACCATAGAGCAGATCCCCGGTGTGTCTCCGGCTACTAACCTCCTGTCCTCGCCCAGTCGTCAGTGCAGCAACACGACAACGCACACACACGTCCGTTCTCCACGAGACGTCGCAATTCACGTCCGTTCTCAACGACGCGCTGTGATCAACTCATGCTTTAGAACGCGCGAACGGACCCAACAACAGAGGGCGCTGCGCAAGCTCGCTGCAGCTCGCTCTATAAATAACTCGCTGCAAGCACACCGTTGCGCCACAGTATCCATAATATTATTTGTATTCAAAGCACACAGATGTTAATGTTGACAAGGCTTAAGCTGGAATAAAAAGCCCATCTGGACGATAGACGTTGGGGTCGCCACCACTACGTCCCCACTCGTTAGGTGTCGGGTTACGTCACATTAAAGATGCATTTTTTTCCCATAGGGTTTGAACACGATTTAAAACACTGTACTTTGGCACCTTCGTAAGTCCGATCGACTTCCGTCTTGGTACATACTAAGATCACCACCCACAGATGGTCCTAGAAGAAATTTGTGATCGTGACGTTATCAGGTGTCGGGTTACGTCACATTAAAGATGCATTTTTCCCCATAGGGTTTGAACACGATTTAAAACACTGTACTTTGGCACCTTCGTAAATCTAATCGACTTCAGACTTAGTACATACTTACATCACCACCCACAGATGGTCCTAGAAGAAATTCTTGATCGTGACGTCATCAGGTGTCACGTTACGTCACATTAAAGATGCACATTTTCCCCATAGGTTTTGTACACGTTTTTCTTCAAACCATACACTTTGACACTTTCATATCTAATTAACTTTAGACTTGGCACACACTAAGACCAGCAGCCAAAAATGGTCCGCGATGATGTGTTACAGATGGAAATTGAAGTAACGTCATCATGACGTCATCACATTTCATGTGACGTCACATTAAAAGGGCATTTTCTCAGGCCTATATCTACGGAACCATATTTCTGATTGGATTGTTACTTGATATGTATACCCATACCTAGATGTGTTACATATGAAAGTTAAAGTGATGGCATCATCAAATGTCATGTGACGTCCATTAAAGGGGCACTTTTCTATTAAAGGCCTATATCTACAGAACTATATGCTCGATTTGGATGTAACTTGATGTGTACATAATTATAATGTGCTGTTATAGATGACATTTGTAGTGACGTCACTAATTGTTCATCACATGCACAGAGTATTTCAAATATCCGAAACAGCTTGTGTTTGTCCACAAACACATTTCTCGTTTTTTTTCTCTCCTTTTTCAGACTTTTTCTCCAAAGGTTTTATACACGTTTTAAAACACTCCACCTTGGCACCTTCATAAATCCGATCGACCTCAGACTTAATACATATTTAGACCACCACCCACAGATGGTCCAAGAAGAAATTTGTGATCGTGACGTCATCAGGTGTTGGGTTACGTCACATTAAAGATGCATTTTTCCCCATTTGTTTTGTACACGTTTTAAAACACTGCACTTTGGCACCTTCGTAAATCTGATCGACCTCAGACTTGATACATACTTAGACCACCACCCACAGATGGTCCTAGAAGAAATTTGTGATCGTGACGTCATCAGGTGTTGGGTTACATCACATTAAAGATGCATTTTTCACCATAGGGTTTGTACACGTTTGAAAACACTCTACTTTGGCACTTTTGTAAATCCGATCGACGTTAGACTTGGTACACACTTAGACTACCACCCACAGATAGTCCTTGAAGAAATTCGTGATCCTACCAATGCCGAGATGTGTTATAGATGAAAATCCAAGTGATGTCATCATCAAATGTCATGTGACGTCCCTTAAAGGGGCATTTTGTTCTGTATAGGCCTAGATTTACAGACCTTTATGTTCGATTTGGTTATAACTTGACATGTACGTATAATGTGCTGTTATAGTGACATTTTTAGTGACGTCACTGATTGTTCATCACGTGCACAGAGTAACTCGAACTCAGCCAGCTCAGTTAGTATAGAGTTCAGTGGGCTTTGCTTAACAATGGAACTTTGCAAACTTCTTCAGTTTCTACAGTGATTAAAAAGGGCATTTCACCTGTGACAAAATAACAGGCTATGCAAAGAGATAACTTTAGTCGCAGGAGCTCATACCATGCCAACAACATTTATTCAACAGAAAATCTTAAAAGTGTGATTACAATAATTAAGACCCACCACCCAGAATGACTTTTCATGCTTTCGTTTAGTTCAGATATGCGTAAGCCTATGAGTTTCAATTAGACTACAGGTCAGTTTGAAGTCTTCGCTGTATAATGTCTTGTAAGTGAAAACTGATTTCAACAGGTTTTAAAGAGAGGCCTAATATTGGCTGAATAACAACAAGACAACATGATGAATATATGTGATGCAAAGGAAACATTTCCCGTAGGAAATTGTGTCAGAGAAACTCGCAGTGGTAGCTTCACAATCGTGACACCCATCGGGTGTTGTTGTTCATTTCCAGATAAAGATTCAGATTAGGATCAGATTAAAATGGTAATCGGAAAATGTGTCATTAATTTACTCACGGGAGTTAGCTATTTAATCAACATTTTGTTCCTTGTGGGAATTTCAACTACATGTTAATTTCAAAAGTCTCATTTAACTCGTACAAGGCAAAGACAATACAACTTAAACCCTTCACCGTAATAAATAATCAATTGCGACTTCATCATCCCACGGCTGTTGGCATTTTGGAACTGAAATGAAGACCAAAAGAAGAGAAAATAATGTTATTTTAACTGCCAAGCTTACACCAAACTCGTCTGCTGAAAAAAAGAGGAACATATACGTTTTCGGTATTCACGTCCTTTATCTTGCTTAAAATGTCAGCGCAAAAAATCAAATGCACAGAAAAAGTACAAGAATGTTGTATGCGTATTATGTCTAACGTCCACAATGCTGTCAAAACAATGTAAATTCCTTCACCATACTGGCGCCATGGGTTGCATCGTATTGCTAAAAAAATATTTCGGTTAATTTAGCTGCATGCGTTTAATAAATAACTTCAAAATGAATAGAGGAAAATCAAGCGTAGAAAATTCTGCCACGTCAAATGTAAACATATGGGGTTTAAACGTTTTTTTCCGTAAATGAGAGGCATTGTAATTTGTAAGATCCAATAAGATCAGTAAAGAAACTTAAAAAAACATTTTCGCGAAATGTTGGAGACTGTACACCAATTACAGTATTTTTCTTCAAAATGCACTGGCATAACAGATGAAGCGTTAGAGACTTCTCCGCTTGAGCTGGCTCCATCTTGTCAGCTTATGAGAAATGAGGCCACGGGGAAAATGTTGACTTTTCATTTTTGTTTATGTTCAGCGTGTTTAAGATTTGTGCCACGTGCTCTTCAAAAAGGATACGGGACACAACGTTGCGTTTCAATGATTGTATAACAAGTACCAAGTGGTTCAACCCATGGCGGCTGGGTAACGTGTAAAGACGGCTTACAGCACCGTCTGTGCGCGCACCCGGGCCGTACCGGTACCTCGAGAGTACAATGATCTAATATGCAAAAATATGCAAATCTGACGCATGCGCGCACATCAGTGTTATCAAAACTGGCCTTCGCAAGCATTGCTGTTCAGCTCGAGTTTCATGCATACAAAATATGGCCGAGTTAACTGTCCACCAACCCACCCACCCACCCACCCACCAACATAAGCAGTTCAAGCCCAGGGCGTGTTTCACACCCGTCGTTAGAAAAAGAAAATAACACACCTGTATTCCGCTGGTTTTAAGGTAAGTTTATTATAGTAAAATCCAGTTTTGACATGAAAAACAAACAAACGACAAAACAATCCCTCTTTAAATTGAATAATGATCGGAACTATACGCCTTGCCAACAAAAACATCCTGTCGTTTACGCTAATTACTGTCTTATGTTGACTGTTCACTTTTTATGTTCACTGCGTTACAGATGCGTGCCCCGTACTCTTTATAAAAGAAACGGGACACACTGTTGCTTTCCAATGATTCTATTTTAAAATAGGGTTCCATTGGCTTCAAGGTAAGTCAATTACAATAAATCCCATTTTTGAAACAAAACACCCCCCCCCCAAAAAAAATCCTCATATTGATATTGAATAATTATCGGAAATTTACGTCTTGGTAACACAAACACCCCTATAACGACTGTTGTGTCAATTTTTCGGGAGAAGTGAAATTTACCTTCAACATTTGCCATTCACTTCTTAAAAGGCATGCACTCGCCCCCTGTTGGTCCGGGTGCTGGCAGGCAGATCATGCCGGGAGGGCACTGGTAAGGGTATGGATCATTGATGTCACAGACTAAAAATAAAGCAATCGGATTGAAATATGAAGTTTATCGCAAGATTATACAATGCATCGGTACATTGGAAGGCAAGCGTGTTGAATGTGAACATTAAATCTGATTAACCGGAAAATTAAGAAGAAATCAACTGCAGAAACTTACGATATTGTTTGACACCAAACTCGTCGGCTGAAAAGAAAGCAAGAAAGAAAGTTCAGTGCGTCGATTTTGATGACAAATTTTAATGCTAGATCTTACACAGAAAACAACAACAACAACACAACTTCCACGGGGTGCTATAGATTTTCGAATTCAGTTTGTAAGTTTTGCTTTAATTGTTTTCTTTCCATTTTGCTCATCTACAATCAGCTGCGACCATAGAGCTATATTAAACTTAATTTAATTGAGCTTTATGGAACCGAGTTATTGTCGGGTCCTAAATAAGTCGAATTTGTTAAAGCAATAATTCAATAAACTAAACGTCGGTTGATTTCGGTGTGTCTTTGTTTTATACTCGAGGGAAAATAGCAATTGAAAAAAATCTACTTTCGGGATGAAACACGAATTAGCAGGGGGAATAAATGTTTAAGACTATATTGATGCAAACTTAAACATATAGACAGTATCAGTTTGTGTATTGGATTATGGTCGTAAGGAAGAGTTGTGATTGATAATACCGAAGTTGTAATGACTATTTAGCTGGTGAATAACTAGATAAATTGAATTCTCCATATCTGCAGATGTCTAGATTTAAAAATTCAGAAAACACGATTCCAGCAATTATGGCGTCAAATCAAATGATTTAAAAAATGGCTGCTAGACTGATAGTCCGTTGGACGAGAGGCCGAAAACGCTTTAGTTTTCGAGATACGCGATCTGGTCCGCCGAATTTTAAAAAACTTCACAGACATGTAGATCATGATGTACCATATCGAAAAAACATTGATTCCCGATCCATAGTTTGTTTGGGAATGAGAAAATCTGGGATAAAAACGCCGACAATTCTGCATGAGAAAAAAATAAATAAGAAACAGGGCCCTCTATTGATACAGTGAGAACCATTTTCGCACGCAATGAGCGCTTGCCAGATAACACTTCTTTCAACTTCCCTTTGAAAAAAAGATCATTACAGATCAAATTCGTCTAAGCTGTTGCCGAATGGCAGCATTTAGAAATCGTTGATAATAAATTAATGTAATTTCTTGACTAAAAAGGTTTGGCGTAGACTAGACGAAATCGATACTCCGGTCCGAAAACGTGTACTTGTTGTTTGAATTGCTTGAACTGAATTTTATGCTGTCACACACAAAAGACGAAATTAAACGTTGGAAGTGCACTAAATCGATGGTGACGGACGAAAATGAATATTAGAAACGGTGAATTCGAATGATAAACGTCTTAAAATAACGTTTTTAATATATAGAGCTCGTCCCCAACTGGCTTTCATAGCAAAGCGCGCGTTAGCAAATCGTGACGTCATTATGTCTAGGGTCTATTGCCCGATGAGTTCGTTCGAATATGTTCCCAGATTTAACGCGAATAATGGCAGATGGTAATCCTGTGGAATCAACAGAAACCAGTTGAAACCAACTGAACAACCCAGTCAATAACTGGTAATTCTGATGGACTCAACATTAACAGGAACCAGTTGAAACCAACTGAACAGACCTGTAATAACTGGTAATCCTGATGAAATCAACAGGAACCAGTTGAAAACAACTGAACAAACCAGTAATAACTGGTAATTCTGATGGTATCAATGGGAACCAGTTGAACAAACCAGAAACCTACTGGTAATTCTAATGGAGCCACGTATTGTATGTGGCAGGTCTGTAAGACGAGCGTTTGGCATCTACACATAGGCTAACGCAATGTAAACTGTCGCTTCGTAATAGCCGTGGAAATTAGGGAGGATGGATTGAAAATTCTCACAAAGTAAGTTACTTACATGAAGTTGATGCTGTTGTGCTCCTGAAGTAGAGATAAGCTTGCTAGTTGACGACAATCGCCGGAATGACTATTCGAAGAACGAGACAGGCTTTTTATACTTTTTGGAGATGTAAATGGACGGTGCAGAGCTTGCGATAGTGGTATCGAAGTATCGATAGCGTGTGAGGAGAATCAGCAGACGTTCGTGATTGGCTGAAAATTATAAGATGTGAACTCCATTGAAACACCGATCCATTGACACGATTTCTTGACCAATTACAGCTGTGATTAAATATTGACATGCGTGCACTAAAGTCAACCATGCGTGCGCGTGCGTTTGACGCACGAGCTGGAACATGCAGTGTGGCATTGGATGGGGTCACGTGTTGTTGCCCACGTGTTCAGTGGGCGGGGCTTAATGGATTAGCCTATTGATCGTGGTTTCTTGGTTGATGACTCATCAAAAAACTTAACTTTCCGTCCAAAAAATGACAAAAAAAAACAATATTTCGAAAAAACTATTCGAAAAAACAATGAAGCGATCATCAGCATTCCTTAAAATTAAGACTTTCAAATACTCTTGTTAAGAACAAACAGATACGTTACCTCATTTTCATATTTATTTTTGGAAATAACTGCAACTCCAGCAGAACCTGTGGATATTTTTAGTTTGGACCGGCCGGCCTGCCCCTAAATTTGAGACCTTTGATGACATGCATACACCCGGTTCCTGTGTTGGGCTATCAGAGGCAAAGGACAAAATTACAATTTAATCTTGATATTGTGTAATGAAAAGACACGTCTTCTCTATCACAAGAGTCGATTAAATGTCATTTCCTATAATTATTCTTATCAGTAAGAGGTAATTTTGAAAATATTTACCATGAAACCAGTAACTCAAAATTAATCGTTTCGACTTTACAGTTAATATTAAAACAAAGTATTTTACACAAAATATTCAGTTGAGACCCCCCCCCCCTCCACCGTTTTGTATAATCCCGTTTTGTGACGTATCTAGCATATTATATGTCATGTGAACTGTGTGTTATTATCGACAAGGGCGTACTACGAACTATTGGAATGTTCAAGTTATCTGTGATATGCAGGCATGTGTAATGAAAGAGAAACTGTTCATGAAACCCACCTTGGATGGTGACATGGGAAAAAAACACAGAAACACATAATATCTACTTCATTGTGTTTCATTTACACCATTCTCCGTTTCTTCGAATCCCCCCGAACCCTTCCCACTCCCATCGGCATTGAGCGTCGCCGGAATTTTGTCCAGAGGCAGCTATGATTATTTGACACTTGGGGCGCTGTTCAACTGTAAACGGAGACGTATCTTAGAGCACGGATCTGACATTTTAAGGCCCCTTTCTTGCAGTTTTGTCAAAAATTCAGAAAAATAAACAGCATAAAATGACTTGGACTATCTTGTTCTCCACCCCCCCCGGCCCTACACAAGTGACAATATCCTCTTTTCATCGCTATCCCGCATTATAGAATGCAAGGACAAAAATTACGTAATACCGAGGTTGAAAGAGAATCCAATGCAGTAATTAGTTCCCTGATCATTTTCGGTGAGTAGCCTGCTGGTACATCATCCAAGACGCTTTGGATCCCTGGGATCTTCACTTGGCGTCGGCTATATCCATGCATGATAATCTACAAAGCCTTGTAATTATTTGACTGCATGGGTAAAGTCCTCTTTGTATTTCCTGAGGTAGAATTTGAACCATTCATTAAAACAAGTGATTGAAACAAAATGAATAGGGCGCGAGAGAATATATGAACGTACAAAATAATATTCGAGTTAAAGAAGTATGCTCGTGCTCTAACAAACTTTGAATTTGTATGTTAGGCCCCCCCCCCCAAAAAAAAGTCTCCGGTTTCTGGTATGCGCGCGCGTCGCCGTAGCCATGCGCGTCGGCAAAATGAAAACGTTTTTTTTTTCAATGAAAGATGATGTCTCAAAACCGCCAAACTCTTCACTTGGCGTCACTGGTTTGACTGGAATCCTGCTGCTGCACGATTTTAACGTGTTTTTAGATGGGGTTATGATCGAGAATAAGCTTTATGTGGCCTCTCTGGACTCCCATATATTTGCACTAAGTTTAGTCGGGCACCATTTGCAGTCATCAGCCGACATTTGAAGCAAAAAGTCAGGTAAAAAAAAAAAAAAGCCGCGTTGCCGCACCACTTTTTGGGCAAGCTCCATACCAGAAACCGGAGACTTTTTTTTTTGGCCTTACTGATATCAGGGAATTTTTTCCCGATTTGAGGAGTCTGCAGCCCTCGCAAATGGACGTTTCTGTTTTGCGTGTAAATGAAAACGCCCTCCAAAAGCCGAATCATTATCGAGCAGCAAATAATTCAATTTTTTTACAGAAATAGTTCAATTACTAAACCTCGGTGGACTTCTTCGTTCGATGTCTCATTCAAAATTGAATAACTTATGATGTCGCAAGGAATACAGCAATTGAAAGTTAAATTTTTTACAGGGTCACACTCGAAATACACCTGTAACTGCTTTTGGCTACTTCATCTTCGCAATGACATATTAAAATTAAAAAAAACTTTTTAAGTATTTTGTTTTGTAGATATGCCTACCCAGCAACAAGGCATTCAAACGACAATTTTGTATATCAAGAGTTTTCTAGTGGCGTATCTAAGGCTTACCCCCACTCATGGCCTATGCCCCTCCCCCGTGAATCCCCCCCACCTTCTTAGAATTAAGGGGGGGGGGCTAAAAGGAGCGTTGATATTGTAAAAACAGTTGAGTGCCCTCCTCCAGAAAATGAGGTCCAATTGGATCCCCATCGATGCATCAGTCACTCCTATTGTATTTCTGTTGCAAATCTGTCAACTGTTTGCGCATTTCAAGACAAATTTAAACAATTTAGTGTTGGATAGTGTGTGTGGTTTGTAATTTGAATTAAACCTTATATCTCAAGAAAAAATAAAAGTTCATTCCAACTTCTACTTTCTCTTTTAACCCCTCGCCCGCCCTGTCTGTTCCCCCCCCCCCCCTCTCGGCTATGGCCCGAACCCAGTTCCAGCCGATTTAGCAACAACACGAATCAGATGTCTGTGCGAGTTGCTGGCAAGATTTCGATCGGCCATGTGCGCCATATTTGCATAATCTATTATATAATAATCTTTGCATGAAGAACAGAGTCTATATTTCTGCTGCAGTCATCACAACAAAATTAATCAATGGAAGATGCATTTTCATTGCTAATTTTGAGTTCAGCTCGTCCCTTTACAAAACAAGCAGATTCGTATTGCTGTGTTGTGTCCCTAGAAAGACAAGAATTTTTCCATTTTGAGAAATAGAAATCAAAGGACGAATGAATCCGATGAGTAGGGAAGGAATAAATAATGTACACATTTCAAAATATTTGTAATCCGACGATAATTCAGTTCGCGCCGGGAGGATTGGTCCCCGCCCCGATCATAATCGATAATGTACAGAACGTAAACAAGTCTGCTGAACGGGCGGATCTATTTGTGCAAAAAGTCGTGCAAATAAAATGCCTATTTCAGAGGGTTGCAGACAAAATACGTAAAATTAGAACAATCGTTAGGAGAAGCAACTAAATCCGTAGAGTAGCATGGGAGTAAATATCCAAAAAAAATCCCCCCCCAAAAAAAATTAAATAAAATGCAGAAAATAATTGCCATTTAACACTGAAATACAAGCGGCCTAAATGGACCAAAAAAGTTCACTTGTACACAATGTATTACATCCGTATCCCCCTATTTTCCATGCCTGGGAGATTTTGGTATATTTTCATCAATTTGCATCCAAGAAAACTCGTGGAAAATGTTTGATGCAAAAAGATAATTAGGCTGCCGTTCCATTGTCACTTTCTAATAATCTTTCATTGAACAGGGACCCTCATAAATTAGATCGTTATTGATTAACAAGCACCATATCCAATTACGAGGTAATCCATTCTAGTGAGTTTATGAAAACCAGTGCCCTCGAACACGTCGTTACTTTACTTGTAATTATTGCTGGCAGTGTGTGTCAGCAAAAATTCATAATCATAACACGGGGGGAGGGGGGAAACTCCACCACTCCCCAAAAATATATTTTGTAAAGAGTGCCCTTCTTTTTTACGCAAATGCCCTTATTTTGTACACAGGTGCCTTTTTTCAAAATATTTGCAGCCCGCAATAATTCAGTTCACGCCGGGAGGATTGGTCCCCGCCCCGATCATAATCGATAATGTACGGAACGTGAACCAGTCTGCTGGCCGGGCGGATCTATTTGTGCAAAAAGTAGTGTAAATAAAATCCCTTATTCAGAAGGGTTGCAGACATAAAAGGACATAAAATTTGAAAAATCATCAGGAGAAGCAAAATCCGTATCACGGGAGTAGTATCCCAAAAAGGTCCCCACACCAAAAAAACCCAAGAACAACAATACAATAAAACAATTGCCATTAAACTCTAAAATCTAAATACAAACGACGTAAATGAGCAATAAGGTACACATGTACAAAATGTAATATATCCGTATCCTCCTATTTTCCACGCCTGGGAATTTTTTTTCCCAGGATAACAGCGGCAGATAAATGCACACAAGGCTATGAGGGTCGTGGTAACTAATTCTGCATTCTGTGCAATTTTTCTGGCAATCGAAAAGAGATGGAACTTTCGTTCGCAAAGATCATTTTCATACACAAGACACCTAAAACACTTCGCTTTCCAAAGTATTTTTTGCAAAATGTTAAAAAGTCAGAGCACGATGCTCTCCTCAATTTTGCTGGTACCCTGCTTTGCTTTTGCACGCATAGGCCCCCCACAATGATTTTTTTTATCCCGTAAGAAAATTCGGCAAATCTCGATGTGCACATACGTAGTTGGAATACCGAACTCGCCTATTGTGCTGCCCTGAAAAGCGCCACCTATTGTCTTATAGTACCCATGATCATCCGGTTGAACAACGCCCCCATTTTCAAAATGACTGCCATTGCTTGTTATTCTATCTATATTTTTTTTCAAACTACATAGGCGATGACCCTATGCTCGGTAGCCGATATCTTTCTTATAACATACTCTGTCTGTGTGCCAAATGCCATTTTTGTATCAT